GTATATAGAAAAAAAAACATAATTATTTTTTTGAAAGAGTAATTCAAATTCTAAAAAGCAAAAAAAAATGGAATTATTATTTAAAAATCTAAATAAACCAATTTCAATAAAATAAATAGTAGATACCAGGGTCCAATATATCAAAATCATCGATTTATTATAGATCACTACTAACCTTCTTCAATCGAGATGAAATAAATTCTGAAATAAAAACTAATAGAAATGTATATTTCGTACTATCATTTAATAACAATATTGAAATATAATAAATAAGATTATCGTGAGAAAAATAAAAAACGATTTTGATATGAAAATCAATAAGAAAATTAAAAAACCTACTCATCTTTAGATGACGACGAGCAACTAAACAATCAGCAAATCAAGACCCGCGGTATATCGTAATGAAACTCACTGGATGGCAATTTCTCGTAGAAGTCAACATTCAACATCCCATGTCCTGACCAATTTTGTACCGACCCTGATGTTTTTTGTGCTTGTTTATTTTTTTGCCCGTGCTACTTCTGCAGATATTTGCACGTGGGTCAACAGGTCAGGCATATGTCGGCTCTGATTTTAACAACAGGTCAAGGGTCCTTGCTTTCGTAGTCAAGGGCTCCACACAAACGTTTGTATGCTTATTTTGTTTGTACCATCCGCATCTGGTTTCCTTCCACGAACAACAGACATACAAGCGGTGCGTCGCGCAGTTTATAGGCAGATCAAGAACCGCAGCACACCTGCCGTTCACATCTTTTGTTGTTGTTGTTGTCGAACCGACATACAACCTGCACTTCACAGACAGCCTTCGCGATACTGATCCTCACAGTGGGTTTTGCACGTTCATTCCTGCAGATGCACCAAAGAACTAACCAAACATACATCAGGTTTGACTGCGTAATTGACAAAACAATCGACACGTTGTCAGCAAGGTGAGATATTCAAAACAGTGGCGGCTGTCTCAAAACATTTGTATGCGTGTGTTGAACCACAATTCATCGTCATTACATTTTCTCGAATGCAGGCCAAGCCAGTCAATCAGACAAAGGCTGCAGGGTCCTGGCGTTGCAAGAAGTGAAAAGCAAACAAGGACCGAGATCCTATTCACGCATCAAGCTTTGGCAGAAATCATTATTCAACACCACATGCACCAAACAGATGACGCGTGCCCGATTAATCCAGGATATGCAACTGGACCAACTTTGCACCGTCCCTGGGTCCTTGATTTCTTTGATACTTAACTACTTTCTATGCTGCTTTTGTAGACCCTCACCGGGTTCAAGGTTTAGGACCCTAAACCCCAAACTGCCCGTGGGGCTGCACGTTATACCTAGAATCTGGAATGGTTCGCCGCGAACTCAGAGCTTTGCCTGGCAAGACTTCCAAGTTTTGCTTTCTCGCATTTGCTTTTGTCGAATTGTTGAACGGACATGCAGCCTTGTCAATTGCAGGAGTGGCTCTAGTAATCTTAGTAATCCGCAATGTTTTTGGCATGTTAGACGTGGCCTGTTGGCGGAGATCACGGAAATGCCTTTCAGACATCACCGCGCCGCCGCCGAAAGCTATCGGCGTAGATCCGGCAACGCCTCCCAGGGTACAGGTGTAGGAGACAATAAAAGGAAGCGAAACCCAAACTAGCAACAACCCGGATGAACAGATAGTATACCCTTGAAAACACCTTTTTCAGCATGGGAATGGCAAGCTGGAATCCATACAACCTTCAAATGTAAACCGTATGCGCGAAAGCCTGCCGGCTGCAGTGGAGGCTCTGCAACCGCTTTCTCCTCAGGATTTCGCGACACAAGCCCGGAAGAAGAAATGCTGCCTTCTTCGTGCGGTCATGTGATCTCGCATGAGTCTCTCACAAACCGTATGGCCCGTTGACCTTCAAGCCACACCAGCACAATGGAATCCAGGTCGCTTTCAGAAAACAAATTCAATCACAAGGAGGGCAGCTTCCGAATCGCGAGGCAAGTGTCCACTGCAGGCAGAACGGCTTTGATTGGAGCCTGGACAGGGCCAGCACATTGGACCAACAAAAACCGGGCGAGTACCTGTCATCGATTGAAATCTTCAAACTCCAATCGCCTGTGGAAGGTTACAAAACAGTGGAGGCACCTTTAGGCTGATGCAGAGAAATATATTTATTCCGTGTGCAGCACCTTTTACTGAGCTATCCACTTTGGAACTTGTGATGTTTGTAGCAGATCTGGCATTGACTGTACCATTGATTGACGCTTGCGCCTAACCGGGCACGCTTGTGCTATGCATGCGTGTGTCTTTTGTCTGCACTTGGCATCTCAGTTGCATGAGGGTTTAGTCTTGACTCAGTAAGGGTATTTGGTGTGGGAACTACGTTGGCTACAGTTCATGTTCTTGAACCGTTCTGCGGATCTTGAAGCTGCGTAGCAATGCGTCCCGAGAGCCAGAATCATTTCCGGAGTCGTAGGCTTTTGACTGAAGTCATCTCGTACGTAGCTCTTATATGGTCATCTTCCGAGCTGACAATGCTTCGCTGCCCGTTCACACCCCCGATGTGTGGAGCCTTCGGCCGCACGCGCTGGAAGATAGTCGCGATTGAAATGAAGAAAAGTTCAATAATCTTTGCTGCAATTCCCATGAGTAGTCGTCAGGCTTTTACTCCGAATTCGACATGTGCGTGGCGCAGCATACGTCAGCAAGTCCCCAGCCAACATTTGAGCAAAATGAGTGCTCTAAAAAACTCTAGGTTGATGTCACCTCAGTCAACGGCTTCGATGTAGGCATCAATCGAATTGCGCGATCCCGTGACTGTTGTTCACCGCGCAAAGGGGCATACTCCATTGACACGGCACATACCGGAAAGAAGGTTCCACGCTTCGTACCAGGCGCACTGCATTGTTGTCACTGATCATGGTACGTACCTTTCTGTTTCCTTTGCCTTTGGCTTGCCCCTTGCCCCGACCGTCTGCTCCACGAGTGGTGGGCCTCGCTTTCGACGGTGCTGGCCCTTTCGGTTCAGGAGGCTTTGATGATGATCGCAGTGCACCCTTCAAAGAGGAGGTGGCCGTTCCTGAAAGTGTGGCCCCCCTCCACTCCTCCTCGGAGGGTGTGTCTGGGATAGATGTCTCACCGGGCGGAAGATAGGATGGCAATTGCCTGACATGTTCGGGATGAGCCCGAGCATCCCCAAGCTTGTGCACACAGTCCTGCTCGATGATCTCATTGAGCATGGACGCCGCTCGCCATGCTGTCGGCGCTCACATTGATGTCACCAAGGTTCACTGGCTGGAGTTCCTCGTGACCATGGAGTCTTGGCTTCGGCAACACACACATGTGTGTGTGTGTGCGCAACCATCGACCACGGGCTCTCTGCTTAAGCCACGAATGTGTGCGAAGATAGGACAGGCAACCAAGTCACAACTTCTGCTTCGACGGGAAGTTCTTGCTTAGGTTCTCCATCACGGGGGCCTCATCCATCTCCATATCAGGCTCCGGCTCACTGGCTCACCCACGATAGCTGTGTCGTCACCTCGTCGACCATGCCACCTGCTGCTGCCTCCATAGCTGCTTCCATTCCGCTTGTGGGGACCTCAGATTGAGAGTGACATCTGTAAGACTTGCGTCCAGGAGGTTGCATCTCTTCCATGTGACCCTCTTTCTGTGGCATGTCCGCCAAAATCGTGCTCGGAAGGATAGACACCAGATTGAAGAGAAATCACCATAGCATTGCAATCCTCTCGCAAATCTTTTTTTAAACATGCTTCCAAACATCAAGAAGTTTGCAGCATTGGAGCAAAACACACACACGAAGTGATCGAATCAGCGAGTGCACAACCGTGGATCGCGAGGGCAGAGGACCAATATCCTCGACTTGGACTCGATGCAAGCGCACAAGCGAAACACGAAAGGCCCATCCGGATGGAGGGCAGCACGTTGCCCAAGCCCCAGGCGACCCGGCAGTGGCCTTGGGACCGGGGTGGAAGTGGGCGGGAGAAAGATCGAGCATGAGGCTGAAATGGTGAATACGAGTGCACCGATGCCTACCAATCCTAAACGCATCGACATCACCATAAGCACTGCAATCCTCTCGCAGATTTTTTTAAACATGCCTCCAAACATCAAGAAGTTTGCAGCATTGGAGCAAAACACACACACGAAGTGATCGAATCAGCGAGTGCACAACCGTGGATCGCGAGGGCAGAGGACCAATATCCCCGACTTGGACTCGATGCAGGCGCACAAGCGAAACACGAAAGGCCCATCCGGATGGAGGGCCGCACGTTGCCCAAGCCCCAGGCGACCCGGCAGTGGCCTTGGGACCGGGGTGGAAGTGGGCGGGAGAAAGATCGAGCATGAGGCTGAAGTGGTGAATACGAGTGCACCGATGCCTGCCAATCCTAAACACATCGACATCACCATAAGCACTGCAATCCTCTCGCAGATCTTTTTTTAAACATGCTTCCAAACATCAAGAAGTTTGCAGCGTTGGAGCAAAACACACACGAAGTGATCGCATCAGCGAGTGCACAACCGTGGATCGCGAAGGCAGAGGACCAATATCCCCAACGCCGTGAATCACTCCAACGCTGCAATGACTTCAGACAAAGACCCAAGTGTTGGCGAGAGGAGATCCCAAGGTGGATCTATGCGCAAAGGAGTATAGACGCCAGAACGGATGTTTGAAATGACGGTCGCGTCCTGCCATCCGTCACGGCTGAGCGGGTCGCTCGGGTTTTGATGGGATGGAACCCATTCATACCAAGGGCTGGCCTTTAAGCGAGAGAAAAAGAGGCCCGCCATGAGAGACAGATGGTTGATGTCCTCAACGCGTGCGGCCGATCGAGTCAGTGATCGAAGGGCAGTCTGGTTGTCTATGAACAAAGCACGGACTGGTCCGGAAGAACAACGGGCAGCAAATAGCCAGGACTGGAGCTGCCAGCAGTTCCAAGAGATTAATGTAAGTAGTAAGTAGTGCGAAGTTGCCACCGTTCAACCGCTTCGCGGGGATTGTCGACAGCAGAAACATAAGCCGTTCCACCCCACCGAATCCAGAACCCTAGCCGCATCCCTGTTGCAGAAGGCGCTTCGGTAGAAGCATCTGTATAAATCAGAACAGGGGGCTCAAGGCAAGGAAAGATCGGCAGAAGACGATCTGGCAAAGTGCGCAATGCCAACAAGAGGTAGCGCAGACTGAGCTCTAAGGCATGCGGCAGGTCTGACGCTGTTTTCTGAGCATATTGCTTGACAATTCAGGCTGAAAACGCTGCTGTGAGAGGCCTGCCCAGTGCGGACATCTCAAGCCAATTTACACCTGACGTTGCGCGCCGGGATGCGAGGAAAAACTGCAGCATCGCCGATGCGCGCTCATTTGTGTCGGGGTTCGGCCGCAGCACCAACAACAAGCCATCGCGTGCGAGAGAGAGGTCAGTTAGCAAACCCAGAAAACGCGGGATGCGAGACATGTGCATGCGCTTTTTGCGGCTGACGACTACCCTAAACAGCTCAAGCAACCTCATGAACAAGAGTTTGTGGCATGCAACAATTTGGGCAAAATCAAACTGGATCGAATCATCGAAATAATGTCCGCACACCATGAGGACCTCTCGACGGGCGATGGCTGTCAAAAGTTGCGGAGTGCGATTAAACTGATTGACCGACGAAGCCAACCCGAAAGGCAAACCGTACAACTGTGCCTACACACGTCTGCGAGTGTTCATCCAAAGTGATGATGTTGACACTCGTGTGCTCTGCAATTGGGTGGTTTTAGCGATAACCCTTCCAAAGATCTTCGGTTCCTGCAACAACATCTAGAAAAGGGACTGAAGCTGCAGTCAAACTCGGATCTTGCAAGCGCTGGTGCCGCAGCATTTCCTGAAACCAGAGCTTAACTACAGTTACAGGGAAGTCCGGGTACTGGTTCACAATGCCTGCCGACAATCCAGAACATTCGTTGTATCGACCAGCTTTACCGTCATCTATAGGTCGCTCCTTATCATGTTGACGAACCGCCTTAGGCGAATTTTCAAACTCAAGTCCTCATACTACCATCGAGTTATCAATCCTTCTTCGGTACCTTGTTCGAATCAGTACTTGGTCGAGTTGGCTTTTAGCTCACGTAGAGTGATTTCTCCTTCTCAACTATATTCTCAGAACCGCCTTAATCTACTTGGTCACTTATATCGTCATCCAGAATCGTTGGAAACGCAGGCTACGTTTATGCCCTCTGCTGCATATAGGCACACTCGAGGAGCCAATAGAGTAGGCGCCCCAAACCCCACTGGGCGGAGTCTTGCCGGGTAGAAGCCTCCCGGCGCATTAATTTTCTCCGCTCAGATCGACCCCCTCCTCATTCATTGATTGACCATGAATTTTATGCCATTCCGAAAGCCGCAGATATACGGCAAGCACATGCCTCGAACTCTCTGGTGTGGATGGATAACACTCCTCTTTATCGCCAAGTCTCTGTAGTTGCCAGAAATAGAGCATCGTGGGTTTCTGTGGTAAATAAGCCAAGCCGTAAACCCCCGCAGCGTTCCTGAACGGTCGGAGCAGACGGGACCTACCTTGGGCCCTCCGCTTGCCAAAAAAAAACAAAACTTCCCAAACTAAAAGATTTTCGTTTACTTTATGGCATTTTTATGCACTTTCAAAAGGAATTCACAGATTTTTCGAGAAAAACGGTATACTTTTATATACAAATATGCATTTTCCTTTTTCCGAACTACAGGAATTTCTCTTATTTTGTAAGAGTTTTATGCATTGTCAAATAAAACTCCTAGATTTTCAACAACAACAGCATACTTTTATATACAAACATACATTTTCCTTTCCAAGCTAAATGGCTTTCCTTTACTTTATGGCATTTTATGCATTTTCCGAGGAAATTCCTAGATGACGTTCAAAGAAAAACAGTATATAGTTTCATATACGAATATGCATTTTCCTTGTCAAACTAAAGGATTTTATTCTAGTTGTCTCATATATCTTGCTCCATAAACCGAATAAAGAAGAAGTTCTTTTTCCAGTT